CGTAACGTATTCCAATACTCTACAGCCATTGCGTAATTTAATATATACCAGCTACAGTCATCATTATACTCTCCGATCGCCGATCGAATCTTGCGACGAATAAAACCGTTTGTACGTCTCTCACAGGATATTCCTTCAATCAGCTTGCGTCACAGAATCGTAACTTATACCTCTCATTTACCAAACGACCGGGTCGCGTCGCGCCGCGCGATTACGCAACGAAATCTTTCCTTATAAGGCATAACGTGGTTTCCCGATTCTCGGTGCCTATCAACCACCCGTGGAGATGACTCGAACGTTCCCTAGCAAACACTACTGTTCTCGGACTCACCAATCGGGCCATTATGACAGTATCCTTCCTGAACCGTTTCGTTCGTTAGTTTCAAAGGAAATGTGGTTGTTCCACAGAAAGAGCTTCGCACAGCACTGACTCGAAATATCGTGCACAGGATGCCTTTATATATCCATCACCCGAATATTCGGTGAATTTCGGACAAGGCGATGCCTTATTTAATCCCCTCTCCACCCTTTCTCTCCCACCACGCGTGCAGGAACACCTTCAAATTTTACGAATGATCTGGACACGCGAACCGGGAATGACAAAATAGCAGTACCTCATGGATCACGGCTGCGAAATCTCCCTTAATATCAATTTAAAAGAGTCCCTGCATTTTTGTCGATTTTTTCTTGTTCACGTTGGGAAGACGAGGAAAGACGAGGACGAGGTAGAACGAGAGGAAGACGGACGATCTTAATGGTGATTTTTTTGCTGAAGTAGAGGTCGTGAATCTTGAATAAAATTTCGATTTCGAACGCCTGAATTCGTTAGTGAATTAAAATATACAACGCGCACATAAATAAACCGTCAATCTAGGAGAAATGAAGGCTGAATAAATTGCTCGCTTTCGGAAATCGTAGTAAGGACCCGTCGTTCTTTACAACCTGTGTGGGATTCTGCAGGTGCAGGAACCGAAAACGTTTCGAACATTGCGTAACGTTATATAAGAGGACCGACTGCACTCTGCTATAGTACTTTAATTCCGCGACTGCCGGAGCCCTTCGTTTCGAAATTCTTCAGAATGCGTGTAAACTAAGAAGTTTGTGACACCCATTAGGCGGATTTTCGTGTATCTTAAATGCTACGCGTGACGACCTGTTCAAGATTGTAGACCGAAGGCAAGGAGACAATGAAGTTAAGGATTCCTTAAGATGAATGGCCATTGTTAACAGTATTTGATTCAATTTCGATAATATTAATGTAACTTTCGTATTTATCAATAATATTTTTTTTGAGCATCATTGTAAAGTTTAATTGAATTTACTTTCATATTACGAATGATATTTATTTAGTTAATTATTACAACTTCGCTGTAAGGAAGTACAATTCATTCATCATATAAGTGCATGTAATTGGATTTTTTAAATTATCCTTCTTAATGTATGTTTTTGAGAAATATCGATTTATTTGCTACATATTCGAAGAAAAAGGAAAACTAATTTTTCCGTCTAAAACCTAAATACTACAGTGACAACAATTATGAAATATTGTAATTAACTCATTATTTAATTTTCTATATTTTAAATTTTATATTTTATATTTTATATTTTATATTTTATATTTTATATTTTATATTTTATATTTTATATTTTATATTTTATATTTTATATTTTATATTTTATATTTTATATCTTATATTTTATATCTTATATTTTATATCTTATATTTTATATCTTATATTTTATATCTTATATTATATATTTTATACTATATATTTTATATTTTATATTTTATACTCTATACTTCAAGAATAGTTAATATTTTTCTTGAGATAATATTTATAGAAGATAACTTCTTTAAATTGGTAACCGGCTTTCTATTATTAATAGAAACATTCCAGTAATCTTACCGGGTAAATTTTTATATTTACAAATCCATCAGTTTATGAGAAACATTTATCTGTTACAGTATATGGAATATTACTGCACTGAAATATTTGCAAATATTATAGACGTGGCCGAGAAACGTGCTTCCTCATTTCTGAATTTCATGTTACACCTATTAATACGCAGATTTACTCACATAAAAAATACGAATACAAATTGTGTTGGCATTCATTATAAAGGCTAATTTAATATGAAAGCTGTAAGTTTGACATTAAAATAGTTGCATCAGGTGTTTCTGTATACAACATGGATTATACTGTATGATATACTCAATAAATTCGAGTTTTATATAGAATTTATCGAAAATATATAAAGTTATAGATTTTTATCTAAAACTATTGTATACTGAAACAAAGAAGGCAAGCATTTATAATTTCTTTCATAAATATTTAAAGATAAACGACTATTTATTTATATTTCCATACTATTTCGCAGTAGCAACAAAATTTATTATTTATTATTCATTAATAATTAGCAAAATAATGAAAACAATTGTGGTATATAATAATTTCATATGTTAAGAAACTCTTTTTCTATTATAGGATATAATAGTTATGTAATTAAATTAAATCTGTATTAGCTTATAATAACGTTTCTAACTATTTATTGACATTACTGAAAACACAAGTTGAAATCTTCTACCGTCCAAAACGAGTAACATTATAGGGAATATACGATTTGTCGGTTCATATTTGATATTTTGTAACAAGAAAAGAATCTATAATGAAATATCAATTAATCACCTATAAACCCATATTTCTCCCTTTCTTTCGCTATGTTAACCTTTATGGAAATTAGTCACGGAACGGAGTTTGGGTATTGACTATGAAGTTAGATTTTTACTTTGCATAAAGTATTTCTGGGGTCAGAATACGGAAGACAGAATATTAAGTCATTCTACGTGTTTAAGAAAAGTAACGGATTTCATTAGCTAATTAACCAAATTGTATTAATAAGTCTTTTATTTCTTAATAATTCTATTCGAGTTGTAAGGATCATTGTAAATTTAGAAATATAAAAAACATTTTTACGTTGAGTAATTAGAAAAATACGTTATTATATGTGAGCTGGAACCTTTTGAATAAAAAAATACAAATTTAAATTCAAAATAAATATATATATATATATATATATATATATTATATATTATATATATTATATATTATATATATTATATATTATATATGTCACAAGAATTTATTATTATAATATTATAAGTTTCCGTTCTATTGGGTAAGAAGTAGTTTTAAAGGTGATTTTACAATTTTGTAGTTCTGACTTTATAATGCACTGATGCGTCATCAAACACTTCCTATGTTTACTAACAGGAAAGATGATTAATTTATACTAAATCAAGTTTAATTATCTTGGAATCTCCAATTCTGACAATCCTGCCACTTCCTAGAAAATTGTACCCATGACCTTCAGGACTCTAGGATATGTATAGTCGAAGAAAAAATTATGCGAACAGGAGGTATATGTCAATGAATTTTAAACAAATTGGAACTAATCTTATATGCGTAAATTTTATTTAACACATACTCTCATAATACACAAGTTATTTATTGAAGTATTGAAATTCATATTTACATTTTTGTTTGAACAAACGATATTGAGCATGAAATTCATCTATCTCTTGAGGAACAAAAATAATTGGACACTTGATTGCAGTCTTATTGCGAGGCAAAAAATGTGAACAAACATAGTGCACTTCTAACACTTGCAAAAACTAATTTCTCACAACCTCCTCAGTGTCGATTCTCGTTTTACAAAGTTAACATTGTGTTAAATAGTAGCATAATGTCGAAAACTGAAGAAACTGCAAATCAAATTCGCGGATTAGTTGTTTTGTATTGTTGTAATAACATGAACTATTGTACTGTTGCCAGAAAGTAGTGTATATATAAAAGCGTAATAGAAAATATTTATAAAAAGTATTTAATTCATAATACTGACGAAAATTTAAGAGATCGTGGACGATAACACTGCACTACTGTCCAAGAAGACCGTCGTACTTTTCAAAAATGTCGAAAAGATAAAATAACTTCGGCCAGAAACATTGTAGAATTGTTAGATTTAAATATTTGTGCAAAAATAATTAAGCGAAGACTAAAGAAGATCGGACTAAAGTGCCGAAATCAAATATTAATTTATTCCAATGCCCCGCACAGAGTCCCAACTTCAACTCCAGTGAGAATTTATGGGGTTTATTAGATGCGTGGGTTTCACTGGATAAATGAAATAATAAAACAGATTTTTTCCAGATGTTTACATGCAAAATTTGAAAAATCGATAAAACGTAGGTCGAAAATTTAGTAAATAGTATTCCACCACATTTGGAAGCTGTAATTCAAGCAAAAGGTGGCAATATAAAATATTAGTTTTATTACTTGTTTAATTAATAACAAATTTTAGTATGTGTCCACGTATTTTTCTTTATCGAAAAATAGTTGACTTTTCTATTTAATATTGTTTACTTGTACAAACGTGTAAATATTATTTTCAATTTTTCATTAAATAATCTGTGTATTATGAGGATATCTAATAAATGAAACTTAAAGATGTTCCACTAATACGAATTTGTTTAAATTGCATTAATACTTCGTACCATCACCTGTCCACATAATTCTCTCCCCGATTATACATCAAACATAACTTTACATACAATAAAAATGTATGAATAATTTATTAAAATTTATAAGATCCAATTAAAAGAATTGACAATAATCACTTTTGTTAGAAGAGATTGTATAATTAGTTCAAAAATATTCATAGGCCTCTGACATGGAATAATTAAAAGAAGTCAAAATGGTAGAAAGTTCTGAGAACCCGTAATTAAGTAAAAACAACTTACGTAACGATATGATTAATCATTTAGAACGTTAATGAGGTAAATGTGACATTAGAAAAAATTTGTATATACGTGAAAGTAGTTTATGTTGGCATTCTTTGTGTTGTAATAACACTGAAATTAAACTTGTTAAAATAAAAAAAAATGATTTAATTGCTCAACACTTTCTTCTTGAAAAAATTATGGACTATAAAAAATAATTATTTTACCTTACACATACTAAGATACATTAATAAGCAGCAAAAAATGTTTTTACCTTTCCTTTTCAATTTTGCATCAAAATATACGAAATTATTGTTATTTATTTCGAGAATAATCATTTTTTGAGTGTAGCTCTTGTTATAATTATCAAAATTTTTTTAATCAAAAGCTTTCTAAAAATTCTATACTTCCTCCTAAAGTGGAACCCTTACAAATAAAAATGATAAAAAATTGGACACGGTGTACGATGTTGAACGAAAATTTTTTTTATAAGTATATTATATATATATATAATTTTTTTTATAAGTATATTATATATATATATATATATATATATATAT